ACATGACAGTTGCTAAATCACCAGTGTTTACGATCATATCATTTTAAACAATAAATTTGTTAAATCTAATTTTTTTTCGGTATAAAAAAAGTGAAAACCCATAAATTCCTACCACTGACTTAAAAAAATACTATAATTTTATTGTATTTAGATTTATTTGACTATCTAGTATCTTTATGTCATATAATGATTTTTTTGTTAAGCTCCTTTGGCCGACAAGGATTTAATAACTATATATTGTAGAGTTAATTAGAAAATTAGTTTTATATTAATGATGATGTAAAAACGACCAAAAAAATGATTTAATAATTTCTAAGACTTAAATTCTAAAATAATGGTCAATGAACCAATGAGCATCAAATGGTTTATTTAATTAATATGGCCGTTGGACCCGCAAAAGAAGTGCGTGGGCCAAAATCTCAGTAAATTACAAATTTGACAAATTACACCATTTGGACCAACCTCTCAAGATAGTAGTTTTTCTTGAGAAAATTGAAATAAAAATGAAGAAAGAGTAAATATGGAAGCAAATGACAAATGTGGAGAGACAGCTGTGGTAATGTTAGGGTGCCTTAGAAGTCGTCAATCTCCTTTTTCTTTCCTTGCTTTAAAATCAATCTCACCAATACCACCATTTCTCATTCATACACACACATACATACACAAATGTAATTAGCTCACCATTTTTGTGAAACATTTTTGTAAGAAAAAAACTTCAAGGGTGCATTTTGAGTAGTTAAAAAACAATTAGTTCATATGTATAATCAAGGGAACTTCTTCTTCTTTTGAACTAGTGATTAAAAATTATAAACAACTTAATTTCTCAAGTTAAAGACTCTACCGAAAAATTACACACTTTTTGCATAATCATTAGTTTCAGTAGTCTTCCTCTTTCTTTGATTTATGAGAGACTTAATCTTGAATTGATTTGATATGCTTATAAGATTAGTAACGTATCTTGTTGGTTTTAACATTCAGAAATATTTAATATCAAGTAAGACCAAAAATTTTATTTGTTGGCTTGTATGTATTCTACCTACGACAAAATGTTCATTGAGAATTATTAACACAATGTCATGTCTAATA